TGGCCCCCGCCTGACCCCTGTCCCCCCCAGCTCCGAACGGGTCCTTCGGCCGTCGTCCCCCCCGTGTATGGAGAAACCGCTCACCGTTTTGATGATGCTATTCCAGGAGCTGATGGCCCCCAGGCGAGCCAAACTCCTAACCAACATAAAACTCTGGTTCTCGGCTGTTTGTGTGTTTTCAGGGAGCAGAAATTGTCCAGGGGCGGGTAGTGTGTGGCCCCCCCTACCTTCTTAGGGCCCCTTGACGTGAGACTCCCTCGCAAAAACAAAAGCCTGCCTGCCACAGGTGGACAAGACATCAAAATTAGATAATGCGTTTCGGGGCCTTAGGGTTTAGACTCAGCATCTGCCGATGAGGGTGCCTCCCGCTAACCAGCCAAAAAAATTCGAGGTTACGTCTTAATGTGCCCCAAACTTTTAGTGGCTGTTTGTTCTAATCTTGCTTGGGTGCTTTTGCCAAGGCCTTCAGCCCCCAAACGGAAGGGTGTTTTGTTGACGTTAGAAGCTACGGGAACTTGGGCGGGCTGGCAGCCTTGTGGCACCAGGGGGCGCTCCTGCACCAGGGTGGTGGTGTGTTTGTTTACAGCCACCAATGACTCATTCCTCCGACCTCAGCTCATCTCTTAACAGCCACCTTGAAATTTATGAGGAAATCTTCCATTTGGGGCCACTTGTATTGTTGGAATTTTTAAAGGCATAATTCTCTTAGGACGGTGTATTTTGCTTGGTTAAAAACACAAGTGGTGTTTGAGCCCAAATCTCGTCTCATTGTGTAAGTCATTGTGTAAAGCGGGTGATTAATTGTGGTTGAAATCCCTCTGAAGCTAAGATGTAACTGAGTTGTTTGCCAATATCTCCGGCAGTATCTCCAAGGTGAAGGTCGTGGGGAAGGAGCTGAAGAGTCGGGGTCACACATTGTTCTCCCTCCCCCGTTCCGTTCAGGTTGCTGACCCGAGGGAGACGGTACCGCCATGGTGAATGCTATCACTGTCGTTTCAGGTTGTGGACCATTATGAGAATCCTAGGAATGTGGGGTCCCTTGACAAAACATCTAAGAATGTCGGAACCGGATTGGTGGGTGCTCCGGCATGTGGTGACGTCATGAAATTGCAGGTACTGGCTGGATGAAAATCATCACCGTTTGCTCACAGAGTATTTCGTCTGTCTGTCTGTCTGTTCCTGTGAGATGGGATGAATGGCTGTCATGGATGGTGAGGGTAGAGACTTGTCCTGTGAAACACTTGAGTGAAAGGATTTGTGAATGCTACTGACCAAATGAAGACTCCAAAGGAGCTGGCACTCCCCAGCGAGGAAAGGAATGCGCTAACCAAACCTCTCCAGGAGAAGGAAGGGGCAGGGAGACGGTGCGCTGTACCTGAGTAAGTCCTAGCTTTAGCTGCAGTCTCCTCAATGGCCAGTAGGAAGGAGCCACTAACTCCAGTCGGGGTCCAAGAGAAAGGTGTTAATGGAGACCTTGATTGCAGGCTCCCCCAGTGCCTACGGAGGCCAGGAGTGGCAGCAGCCGTGAACAGACTTCTACAAATGGGGATTGACATACAGCAGGCTAGGGTGGAAACAGAACCAAAGTGAGGCGAGAGCTTCATTTCCTGCTCCTCTCTGCCAGCTGGGCCTGTGTGGACCCCGAGTTTCACTGTCAGTGGTTGGGCTCTTTGAAACCAAACAGTGATTGATGTCCTAGCATCTCGTGTGGACAGCAAGCCAGGGCTCACTGGGAACAGCCGCTGTGGGCCCAGGAACCCCCTCCCAGCCCCCGTTTCCTTTCCAGATCCAGGTGGATGACAAGGGGAAGATTGTGGACGCCAGATTTAAAACGTTCGGCTGCGGCTCTGCCATCGCCTCCAGCTCCCTAGCCACAGAGTGGGTGAAGGGGAAGACGGTAAGAGAGCTCACAGCTTGTACGGAACTGTCGAGTCCCAGCACTCAGAAGGCAGAGGCAGCAGGAGCTGTGAGTTCTAGGCCAGCCCTGTCTACATAGTGAACCTGTCTCAATAACTATAGAATTAAATCAGAATTCCCTGTGACCCTGGCTCTGGAGCAGGAAGATGAAGATGGTGAGTTCAAAGCCAGCCTGGGCAATGCAGTAAGACCTTGCTTTAAAAAAAAAAAAAGTGCCTATGATTTCTTGAAGCCATTTTTCTAAGGTTTAATACTGGTCACATTGCTCACATTGGAAGTTGTGGACCATTTTGTTGCTTGAGGCTTTTTGTTAATTACTGGTATTTGGTTACCAGCTAAGTAGAAGAGGATCATCACCAGTCTTTCCAGAAGAGCAGAGCTCAAAAACCACCGTGGCTTTCCCTAATGTTTCTAAGGTCCTTACGGTTTCCTGAGAGTTACTGTGTGACAGTTACTGTTTATTTCCTCCCATCTCCTGCCTCGAGTAGGATTCCAGAAAGCCACACTCACAGAGTGGTGGATGTAGCTTGTGTTGAAAGGGGTTTAGAAACCAGAATCACAAGGGTGAGAGCCAAGTAAGCAGCAGAAGGTGAGCAGTGGTCCAGGTGGTTGGCCCGGAGCTTCTGAAGGGGATCTGGAAAGGGCTGTGACGTCTTTTCTGTCCTTTTCTCTACCTCACACAGCAGCTGAGCTGAGACTGCTAAGACCCAGCTGCATCAGAGCCACCCACACGAGCCCGGTGTGGTGGTGCACGGCACACCAGCCTGGAATCCTAGTTCTTGGGAGGAAGAGGCAGGAGAATTGGGGTGGGAAGGTCTTCCTCAGCTAAGTAGCAATTAAAGATGACCCTGCCCTGCATGAGACCCCATTTTAAAGCAGTGTGCTCATCCTTTGCACCCTCACAGGACCCACTTCAGGAAGCTGAGTCTTGGAGGGTATTGCCTACAGAGCGAGCTCTCCAGCAGAGCTGTTTGCTAGCCTCATGCCAGCCACTCCACAGGATTCAGGCCTTCTGGGTGTAGAGCTCCTAGAGGCCAGGGAGGCCCAGGCCTGCTTGTTGGGGAAGAAAATGGCTCAAAGGAAATTGGTTAAGAACTTGCCTTGGGGAAAGGGGAAGTGAAATTGGGCACATGCTCCCAGGACCTGGCATTTAGAGGGCCCTGACCTATGATCAGAAATAGGAAGCCTCGTTCTCTAACCTTGAGGTCGCCTGTCTGAGCGAGACTGGCTTTCTTTGATACACAGGCCATGCCTCACTGCCTCCCATCATCCCTCAGCGCTCTCAGACCCCAGGCATCCTCGGGCAGAGGCTGCTCAAGCAGCCAAGGCAATGCCTGCCTTCAGTGGGCAGGGGGGTCTTGTTGTTGCTTACCCAGCCAGGCAGCACGGATGTGTGTGTCCTGCCCAGACCCCTAGTGCACAGTGGCCGTCCTGCCCAGACCCCTAGTTCACAGTGGCCGTCCTGCCCAGACCTCTAGTGCACAGTGGCGGTCCTGCCCAGTAGCTGTTGTGAATCTACTGGCAGCCTATCTGGAGCATGTCCCGGCCTCCCTTTTCACTGCTGACCTCGGCAAGATAAAGTCACTAAACACCCACTTTCCCCTGCACCTCAGGTGGAGGAAGCCTTGACCATCAAAAACACAGACATCGCCAAGGAGCTCTGCCTTCCACCCGTGAAACTGCACTGCTCCAGTGAGTCTGCCCCGAATGCCAGACAGCTGAGACGCTTGGTAGTCATAAACTCCCCGTTAGGAGCCCACGCTGTGACCCCAGAGAACATCTGCCGTGGGGACCTTTGGGAGGTTGGAGCCTGTGGTCTCCCAGCCCAGAGCTCTATCTAGGAAGTCAGGCTAAGAGGCCCTGTGCCCTGAAGCCGCACTGAGCACAGACACAGCACAGCTGGCAGCATTGCTCCCAGAGATGAGGAAGTGAGCCCCGTCTTTGTTGAGGGTCTGTACTGTTCCCACCACACCACGGCCCGACAGGCTGAGCGAGAGTGTTTGCTCCACCGCCCTGGTGACTGCATTTCCTCAGGTGAGGCCACTGTGCAACACCCACTGACTGCCCCGAGAGAGGCTGTGCGCCTCAGAACCTGCAGTCAGAGCTGATGCCTTCCACCCTCTTAGGTGTCCCCTAAACATGCTGTACGGTGTACTGACCGAGTTAGTTCAGATGCTGATATCAGAGGGCAGACAGGGAAGAACTGGTGCTGGGCTGGCACTCCCACACCATCCTCAGGCTGCCCTCAGGATCAACACCTGAGATCA